GTAGGTTCCAGACTCAGGACCCGTGAAGATTCCGGGGTAGAATAGGTCTTCAGCAACCCGAGTGCGGCATTAAACAACAAACCAACCAACCGGCCAATCCAGACTCAGCACTACATGAAGCGTCATAAAATATCACGTGGTATACCGGCGTGTGCTGTTCCATTTGTGTTCGGACCACCCCCTCCCCATCCACACCCAAAGTCTAACCCACCCACACCCATTCCACCCTCCTCCCTACCCTTCCCCAACCCACACCCTCCAAACACCGCATACAACCAATCACCTCGAACATACATGCTCAAAACGTTTGTCAAATGTTTCATGATGTTATATTTTATTTTTGTTAAAAAATATTTGTTCGGACTGATGATGAATTGTTTTTGTATATTTTGTGGGACTATTGTCAAACACTGAGTATATTGGTGACACAATACCTTGTAAATAAAATTAATTCCTTGGATATGTGTCATAGTTGTCCAAAAATATCAGTTTGCATGTGTGTATGTGAAGTGTGTTTGTACTCGTTTGTATGTGTTTACGTTGGCTCCAAAGTGCATTTTCGCGTTTGCACGTGTGCTTGTACACGCTTATTCGTGAGTTTATAAGTGTGTTTAGAGGTGTATGTTTACATGTTTGTAAGTGTATGTTTACATATTTACAAGTGTGTTTGTAAGTGTATGTTTACATGTGTGTTTGTAAGTGTATGTGTTCATGTGTGTTTCAAAGTGTATGTTTACGTGATCTTTGTGGTAGAGCGTCTGCGAGGTGAGCGGAAGGTCAGGTGGTGTATAAAACATATTTTAGATAAGAGTAGGCAAAGTAAATGATAGGAAAAGGTGTCTTATTAGAGGCACCCTTCTGCTCTTCCTGCAATATTCAAGCCTCAACCTATGGACAGACTGAAAGTTTCATATTTAGTTTATGTCCACTTACTGATAAATGAGTCTCGATTATTCACTGGAACAGATTCCATTTGGCCTAAAAGGCACAATAGTGGTAGAAATTGATTTCTGATTTTCATCCATGTATTAATTTAGTGGAGTTCTAACCACATTAAAGCAAGTGTTTATGAAGCACGGTCAAAAGTGTTATTGAAATTATGTTTCAACAAATTTCAGGTAGACGTACACACAGAATCCTGACTCCTTAATTATATATATATATCTGTTTACATAACACAAGGTAGGATAAATGTACAAAGATAACGCCAAAAAAGATGAAGCCATTGTACCATTTGTGTTCGCCTAATTTTGATCCGAATTTCTGCTAGGATTGGTAAAATCAAGACAGGTAAATCTGGCCGAGAAGTTTCGCTTCAACTGATACTTGACAAGGGATTCTTTTTATGAATTCTAAAAAAATAGTTTTAAGCTCAGTTCAAATAGCAGCAACAGTTGTCACAATATCAGTGTATAGTATGATATAATGATCATCATCAATGTTATACGATAGCTACGTGATAAATCGCAAAGATCAATAAAGTACCAAGCGTGGTTTATTTCGCGATAAAACATTGTTACAGCATGACGTCATTTTTGGAGATTCGAACATGCGCTCGCAACTTGATGACGTCGTATATTTTTCTTATGACTATGGAAAGGGTTTTACCCCCTTGATTTCATAAAGTTATGTGTCTACAAAAGGTTAAAACTTCTTATTAAATACATTTAAATAATTTTCAGTGATATCAATTTCCTTGACATATTCACAAAAAAGAAAGCTTGTTACAACTGGTTGTATTAATGTCCTTTAAATCACACCACCAGGAGCAGTCTGTGACAGCGAAATGATATACTTCTTTCGATATTTGGGATAGGCTCATTGTAGTCCGACAACATTCCGTCCATAGATAGCAAAACAGTGGGATCTCAAAGTATACTCTAACATTCCTTCTCTTAAGTTTTATATTAAATACATAATTGGCATACATATATATTGTATCTGTGTGTGTCTGTCTATTTGCGGTTTAATACCGCACAATATTCCAGTTATACTTTTGCGGCCTATCAATAATCAAGTCTGGACCAGACAATCCTCTGAGTAAAGACAAATTGATAAAGAGCCTACCTTTAATACGTTTGTAGACAACATATGGATAAGTGTATCCGTGGAAATGCACAACAGTCTGCCTGTAAAAAAATACATTTTTCTCTGTTTGGAAACTAAAACACTGTAGTCGTAAGCATTTGTGCACTGCCATGTAATCCGAACTTTTGAATACCATGTGTGCTGCTGGTAAAATATGGTATACGTCCCACTGTCCCCAGAAAGCCAATCTGAAACACAGCCATGTAAAAGAAAGTAGATACCATAGAGGTCCAGGGCGTGTTACAGGGCGTGTTACAGGTAGGTACCAAGGTGTGGACACCATACCATGTTATCAATAATGATAAATATATATCCATCCTCGATGCTTGTTTTAGGAGGGACGCGGTTCACGTAAAGTGGGCTAAGGGTATTATCAGATATGAACATGTCCCTAACGACTCAACAGACATCCCAAGATACCCCTTAGCCTATCGAAGCATCACCTTTGCTGGTGTTTGCGACTAGTTTACTGTGGATTATTGCACAACAGACTCAATAATTATGTGGAGTCTCAGTCGCTGATTGAGGACATCTGGCGTGGGTTTGAGGAGAGGCCAATCGACAACAGAACATGTACTTAATCTTACTTCTATTATTGAAACTAGGAAAGCAAGATAAATCTACCTGTGTTGCCTTTATTGATTTCAGAAAGGCCTATACTTGTATATACAAATATTGACAAATATATTGTTGTTCATACCAGATGGAGGACTGGTGCTGAATATGTAATATATTTAAGGTAAACGAAGATAATTTATAATTCTCAGATGGATACTTTGCCTGGCTTTAAGATTACAAAGAGCGTCATACTACTCTTTATCAAAGTTGTTTGGTCAGTGTTACAGTATTCCAGGCCTAAGTACATTTTCTAAAGTTGTTTTGTTAGACATGTGGAGGACATTTTCAAATTTGATGCGTCAGTAACAAATATGATCTCCGATGCCTTTCCCTATTTTACTTGAAACATATGTTCATGTGTTCCTGTCAGTTGATTTGTCTTTGCCTGTGGGGCAGGATACACTCACCATTTCGCAAAGAATTGGTTTCATCACTATTTGATAGCGATTCATAAAAAAACATGCTCATGATGTGAATCATACAATCGACTCTGCTCTGTTGTATTTTGTGTGGGAACTAACCGATTTTCATTCTCAGTAATTGTATAACTGAAAACTGATAACTGACTTTTAGATTGTAAGCAGGCCAGACTTAAGAAATCTAAAAAAGAATATGAATTTGTTCAAAGTTTATGACTTTAATTCGAAAATGTCACAGGAACAACAAAGTTCGTGCACTGGGCTGACGTTTTATTTGATAAGGAAGAGTCCTGTAAATATAACAAAAAAACTATAATATAATTCACACATGAAGAAAAAACCTTTCGATCTCAGAAAAGATTTAAAGAGCATTCACTTAACTCATTCAACATATACCTGTAAAGTGAGTGAGTTAGGACTTACAGTCACATCGGCAGTATTTCAGCCATATCGTGACTACAACAATTAAACAGACATACGAAATACGTGTAGTCTTTCTAAAATACCTGTCAGCAAAGGACAGTAGAATAACTAGAGTATCACAGACATATTTAAAACTAGTATTGAATGATAAAACAACATTACTATACAGAACAAAACATGATAACAACGAGCTAGGGATCGCCAGCAAACAAAGTATGGCCACCATACTGGGGACCGTGGGGACTTACAATACTTCTACTTCCTTCACGGCTCCCCAGCAGGATTTACACCATGCCTTCAGCCGCTGGTGATTGTAGTCAATTGTAGCTATCAATTAAAACTAACATATATACTACGATTTTAAAAAATGGGTTAGACCCAAATATACGTTGAATGATGTGGAACTTACGTACTCTTTCCGGGGGACAATAATACATACCTGTAAAGATAACAAATGAAATGTTATTTGGCTTTGTGGTCCGGCATGGTGTGTGCTGGGTTCCGAGCACATGTAGTCTTTATAGAGGACAGTCATGTGATCTGCCTCTACAACAGTTGCAGGGACTGCATATGCCAGGGCCCAGGATGTACCTGGCAGACCACAGTTAAGGTGGGCTGTTCAAGCCAATATTAGGTATGGAAAAAAGTTGGTGACATAATTGATTAATAACAGATTAGTTAAATTTAACCTGCGACCAAAATATCAGTACAATTTCAAAAACTTGTCTAAGGGATTAATCTGAGTGTAGACGAACATGTACACTGCCGTGTGACTCATTCGTATGAGCTTGTTTAAGATAAACCAAAGTTATCTGTCAACCTTGAATAGACTGACGAGTCATGACAGAATCTAAGCAGGCAAATCACATGCTCTCAAAGCTAATTAATATCCAAACAGTTTGTCCAACTTCTTAATACTTACTGTATATGTGGCTTCATTGTCTCTGTGTTATTTGTGATTCTTATATACATCTGGCTTCATCCGGCTACGTGTGTTACTTGCTTTTTTCCATTGCCTACTGTTGTTTATGTTTGCTGCTTTTCACATCATATCATGTATATACCTCTCGTTATATGGTTGTAGTCACTACCACTAGATCTACGTCGAAACTTCGCTAAATGCAAGAAACCAAAAGTTGTTGTCCATGATGATGGGATATAATGTAAAGGTTATGAGGATCACCTTCATCATGTAGCGTGATACTCCAACTCTCAAGCAACATACCACTGTTCAATACCTTCAGTTGCAGTGCATGTTATAATAATGTATATTTATCAGAACGTCATATTTATCAAGTGAACTGGGTTTGTTCAATAACAGCATTGTCTGAATTTTGTTATTTCTAATCGATTGAGAACATTTTTTTTCTTTCAAGTTTCTATCTTAAATAACATGTGTCGCTCTCTTTGCATATTACTCGGAATGTGGAATTTGAATCAAAATCAACACAATTTTCGTAACGAGAAGTTTATCTACTGAAGTTTTCCAACAACGAGTGCGACGGATGTCACGTGGCCACCGTTTCCATCAAAGGTCATGTTGACGGTGTTTGTTGTTTTGACCTGTGATTCAGGGACCATGAACTCCCACACGTTCCATTTTGTTTTCCCCTCAATCTTCATAGCATCGAACAGCATGTAGCTTGAAGATAGCGTCTGGCCATTGAACACAACTTCCTGGGGCTTTGTATTAGCGTTCTTGTCTCGGCTAACTCCAACTCTAAGATGAGCTGTATGATAGCCTGAGGTTGGTAGATGGATGTTGGTCTGCACATGTCCGTTGCTGATGGGGATGACCATATCCTTACCATAGTATGTGGTCTGGTTGTCCGTGTGTATTCCGGCAAAGTTGTAGTCGGTTTTAAACTTGTAGAAGCAGGTTGAAGATCCAGGGAGACCAACTGTTCCATTCAGCTTAGACATGTTGAAAGGGTAATTGAGATGAAGAGCTGGATAACCATTTTCGAACAGAATGCATGTTTCTTCACCCGTAGAAGGGTTGATCCAGCTGTCGTTAAAGTCGAGTTTTACATTCTGCAATTCACTGCCATAGTTGTGTAGAAGAACTACCATCTCTCTGCTGTGAGGATTTGCAAGAGCAAGAGGAGCAACTATTCTCTCTTGTCCACTGTATTGACTAGTGACCCTGAGAAACTTTTGATCATAAGTGAAGTTTTGCCAAAACGTGAAGTATTTGGTCGTTGGAAGGGGATGACCATCCTTAGTAAATAAGGAATTTCGAAGGGAATTATGACCAGGCCATTGACCATTTGATGCGAGAAACACAGTTACTCTGTCGATAAACTCTCTCAGGTTAAGGAAAGTAAACATGAAGCCGTTTGGTTGATAAATGGTTTCGAACTCTATCATTCCATTTTCAACATCGGGGCCAACTCCGAAAACGTTACCTCTTCCAAATTCAGTGTTAACTAACTGAACACCTTTTCCTTTCATGCGATAAGAGTAATTCTCCACCATGTCAAGAGAAGCAACCAGGCGCGCTTCGTTGATGCCAAAGAAGGTGTGATTTACTCCCAATACACGCAGATAGTTGTAGGAGTGGAAAGAGAAAAAGTCCAAGTGATCTAGAGACATATCCATAAATCTAGCAGTTCTGTTCCAGTAGCTGAAGTTATTTTCGTCTGCTTCTCGTAAGGCCATACTGGTGTACGATGGTCCTGCAACTTTCATTCCAAATCTTGATTTCAGTTTATCGGCGACGGCCTCATGGAAATCTATATTCGTTTGTGGGTCAATAATCTTTTCTTTCCAATCAGGTTCATTGATGACTTCAAATATGTGGGGACTGCGTCCTCCTGTGTAACTCATGGCACTCTGCACCATCAGTGACACGAGCTCTGACGCAGCGTCAACGTTGTTGGGGAATCCACCTTGATGATTAGACTTATTCATCCAGTTGGGCCAGGCCGAACCTATGGAAAAAATGGAAGACAACTCTATTAATCCCGTTTTCAAATACTTAAAACAATGTGAGTGAATAGATTAAGTAGCAGACATTTACAGCTGTTGGTGAAAATGTAATGAGTATTCTGCTGCAAATGGAATCTTTCCTTTCAGACTCTTTATTACTATTTTCAAATAATTCTCAAAACGATTTAATGACTTGCAAAACCTTGTATGTTCCAGACCATGTTGTCGATGCTGCTTCCATAGCCATCCAGTTGTTGCATAAAGGACGCCCATGTTCTTGACTGGAGTGCATGGTCCTTGAGATAGGTAGTGTCTGGGTAACCATGGCGACTAGGGCTTTGGGGCCACTGAATACAATAAAATGATATGGTATGGATTTGCCAGTTTTCACTTTGGAAGAAGATCTTATTATGTGCATGACTTCCATCCTAGAAATAAATTAACAAAAATGTTCCCAGGACAAACATTTGTCTTGATTGGGTATTCAAATAGGAGATGAACTAATAGGTTATCATACGGTGATACCTGTGAATCCGCTAAACTTCAATACTACACTGTTTGTGTAATATTAAAAACAACTGGTATAAAAATCTCAATTTTTATTGCATGATACCAGATTTGATTGTCTTTATGGAACTTATATGTGCTACATGCATAAGACTGGCAGACTTTTCAGTCACATCTTAAAAAACATAGCTATTTATGTCTTGATACCAAAAATCGACATTGATCGTATGAAAATTTCCGAACACCTGACCCTTAGCCCTGTGGTTCAACATTTCTACATAAGTGCATTGCTATCATAGCTTTTCTCTCAAAGGACCATTGTGATATACACATATATTTTACTAACTCATTGTATATGTCGTCACGTGATAAATATAGAGGTGTTTTACTGTAGAGCATTTTAAACATCTGGTTCAGATATATTCATCTTCTCAAATCTGTAATTTTGTAAACATGGTATTGGAACTAACACACATTTGCAGGAAAGGTGAGTGAGTGGGTATGGTTTTACGCCGCTTTTAGCAACATTCCAGCAATATCACAGTGGGGGACACCAGAAATGGGCTTCACACATTGTACCCATGTCGGGAATCGAACTCAGGTCTTCGGCATGACGAGTGAACGGTTTAACCACTAGGCTACCCGATCGCCCCTTGCAGCAAAGGGAAACACAAAATGAATGAATCTGTACCCGACAAATCAATAGTTGAAAGTATGAGCATACGTTAGATACATCAGCTCCAACTGCCTCATTCCCATTTAAAGTTATGTAGAAATACGGCTCCTTACAATGTACCCATCAAAGCACAGATTCTGCAGGCATACTAGGACATTGAAACCATACATGAATAAAATTGTTTCTTAAAATATTATCTTCATGGAAGATACGTACATTTGGAAAGAGACTCAGGTCTATGTTCTGCCAACGCCCGGGAGCCGCTCCGATAGACTTCATCTTTGGAATTAGGTTCAACTGGGTGAGCCCATTAACTTTGGTCCATCTTTCAGGTTCATAATGGACCCGTCCACCCTGGGAGAGCCATTCATTGTATATTGTGACGGTTGTGTCAGGGAGCGCCGCTCTCCACAGCAACAATGTACACACTACCAGAAGTAACATTCTGCAGTAGAATTTGGATATTCCTCTTCACGAATATTGGCTTTTAAATATTATATTCAAGGCTGTAATCTGTGTGTGAAGGCAGCATGTGACAGATGTCAGGTGATGTATAAAACATAAGATAAGAGTAATCATAGTAAGTTCACTTTAAGAACATTTGACACTTTGATTTCAACCTTGATAATCAGTTTTGCCAAGTTTTATCTTTGTTATATACTGAACCGCAAAAGAAACGTCACCATGGATAGATATATGAGAAACCTTATTTGTCCAAACACTGCAAACATTCTTTGAGACATAGTAAAAAGATGAAACTTGGCAAAACTGATCATCAAGGTTGAAATAAAAGTGTCAAATGTTCTTAAAGTGAAACACAACACTAGTCTCTGAGATAATGGCACCACAAGTCAGTATCTCGTGTGTCCGCCATCAGCATTGGTGACTGCCGTGCAACGTCGATACAGGAAATGGATGAGGCGGTTGATGAAGGCCATAGGCGCTTGAGCCCACACTCTGAGGAACGCCTGACGCAGTTCAGCTGCAGTTGTCGGCCTTGGTCGGGCGTCATTCAGCCGTCTTTGAATCTCGTCCCACAGGTGCTCAATGGGATTTAACTCGGGACCGAGGCCAGATCACTGCATGGTTCTGATGCCATTCTGCTGGAGGAAGTCTCTTGTTGCTCTCGCAATTTGGGTACAGTCGTTATCATGCTTAAACTCGAGGTTGCAGCAACGTGCCGAATGAGGTATGGTGTGTGGTCTCAAGACTTGTTCAATGTACCGAGCTGCTGTGACACCATTGCCTCTCCCTGGACCGTGTTTTGGAAGACCACAGAGCCGACCCTCTGTGCAAGACCAAATCCACCCACACCATGATGCTCGGACCACCCCACGAGTCTCTCTCAATAACACACACACATCCAAATAACGTTCCCCTCGGCATCGCCAGACTCTATCTCTGCAATCTGCTGTTGAGATACAGGGAGGGACTCTCCTCAACTGCTGGTGGCGCCAATGCTGGTGTTGTGTTGCCCACTAAAGACGGTCCCGGCGATGACGTGGTGTTGGAATGGGTCCTCGTTGTGGCCTGTGAGAGTAGAGGTGTCTGCTCGTCAATCGTCGACGCACGGTCCCCTCACTAATGTGTCGCTGGTGTGTCCCCATGGTCTGACTAGCAGTTTCCGCAGCAGTAACAAAGCGCTCTTGAAGTTGCTGTCGCACAATCTGACGATCCTGACGTCGGGTGGTGACCCTTGGTCTTCCACTACCAGGTCAGTCATCTGTAGTGGTGGAGGTCTGGTACCGTTGCTGGAGCCTGTATATGGTCCTTACATGGACTTGAAATGCATTGGCTAATCGCCGGGCGGATTGTCCAGCTTGCAATCGTCCAAGGGCTTGGTGTCGCTGATTTCTTGTCAATCTTGGCATGTGGTAGCAGTTCACTAACGAATGAATGTTTCCGATCTGGGTGGAATTTTATATGGCTAGGAATGGGGGAACGCATGTACATTTAAATTTGCACGGAACTCACGTGCATCGGGTAACCATGGCCGTTGCCGTGATGCGTTTGGGCGATCGGTTTTATTGTCATCTGCTTTGATTTTTTATCATCAAATTTCCCTTTTCCGGACAAGGTAATATGAAATTTTCGAAAATTTGAAAAACAAATTACCCAGATATTTAAATGACAACTTTTCATGCAATGTTACTTGGAGTGGCATTTCCCTTGCTGTTCAGTATATGTCTCAAAGTATATTTAGAGTGTTTGGAATTATATATCTATCCATGGTGGCGTTTCTTTTGCGGTTCAGTTTACTATTTTGCTCGGCTGCTATAACGTTCCGATGTAAATGATATTTTGACATGAGTCATTTTCATACTTTTCAGGCTTTTCACAGCTTCAGTAATATGTCGGCAATATAACAGCAGCACACTCAAAAATGATTTCCACACATTTGAGGAATCACGTCCTGGGTCTAGCCTTGACAAACGAAAAATCTATCCACTTTCATTGCATTTCGAACAATTAAAAACACATTCATATTATATGACATCCATGTTCAATTAACATACAACAACAATAACATCAAATGCGTATGTTTGACTTGGAGAGAGTATCTGAATTCTCACTTTTATACCGTAGTTACACAAGCATCGAGTAAATAAGGATCAGAGATGCGGTAATAAATAAAATATGTCACAATATTCATCACCACAGTCCTTCATAATACTTACTTTCATAAGCATGATTGTAGTTCCCTGATTGCTGATCGATGTGACTGGTGTAAAGTATTGAAGAGATACTATATGGAACTTGGGGGGGGGGGGGGGGGGGGGGGGGGGGGGGATGGTTGTGGCTTTTCACATTTTAGCAACATCATAATGACAGCATCCAAACTGGGCTTACCTATGTGTGGAATCAATACCGGGCCTTGGCCTTGACAAATGGACACTCTAGATCTATCCACTGGGGAACGCCCTGAGGGAACTTTAATACAAAATTTCTTTGAAGTCAAGTGAAGCTAAAACACAACTTGCTTGAAGAAAGTATGTGGAAATCAATACCGATAATATCACAAAACAAAATATGTGATAACTATTTCCTGTGGCATTCTAAAGTGACCACTCAGTGTAATGATATACAATTTCCGAGGATGCGAGAATGTTTGTCATATCAAGAAGTGCCATTTATGTGACCTTGGGACACATACTGTAAATCATACGTGGTTGTTGTTTTTAGGTTTGACGCGCCCAGGTATAACCACAACGCATGGACATGATCGTCCGATTACATTAATTACACTACACAATGGATTTAAGTCTGCTCCAGTTACCAATAGAGAATTCAGTACAATAATAGGAAGGAAAAATTCAACATCTTCCTTTAAAAACAGGTCTATGCAGTTCACTCGAAAGCAAGACGTCACGTGCCCTCAACAGTTCCCATAGGCAAGATTGGGATTGGCAAGTCAATACCAAGGAAGAGTTGTGCCCAAATGCGAGGAATCAGGGCTTTGCCTACTTTTACAAATGGCAGAAAACGTTGTTGACGGCGTAGCGGCGAACCGTGTGCCAGGTAATAAATCATGATCATGATCGGTATTGGGGCAGTAGTGTCATGGTGTTGGCCGGTATCACATGCATGACATGCGAACTGATTTGGTTATTGTGAATGGACATTCACAGACGAAAATCTGCGTCGTGTCATTGTTCCATTTGCTAGACGTATCGGCAAAACTTTTGAGCAGCAAGACAACATCGTTCCCAGGTCATTACCCATTATCAGCGTCTATAGGATGTGCTGTGGCGGAGTGTCTATACATTGACACAATAAAAAGAAATTACTTTTACACACATTTGTCGTCATTACAACCTGAATATCATTTCACTACTTCCCTTGTAATTTGTTAGACATATTTCCTCTTTTTCAGTTTATGCATACTACCATTCACAGCTAAATATAGATAATCTGGACACCAGTTTGTAGCGGCGGGATACGTAACTCAGAGAAGAGCATAACACAAAAGGAATTTGGAAAGGTAAACGTTAATATATCCCTTGTACACTCTTATCATTTATGAAGTGTGTTTGGGATGAATGTAATCAACAGGTTCACGACAATAGTCGAAGACCCAACGCGAAGGCTGTGCGATTTATTTAAAAAGGTTAAATCAGTTCTGTGCCAGTGCTGAGTTCTGATTGCTGTTGGTTCTTTGACATAATTTCATCTACAGCAATATACATCATGGGTAGTAGCACAAAAGCTCAGTTTGTGTGTAATAATGTTTTTAATAATGCTAATGAGTAAACAGATATGTGATAATTCATAGTGACATGTGAAATCAATTACCAAATCAAAGTTGCTCCAATATATCAAATCAAAATATGTTTCATAAACGATATAAGGTAATTGACCCCTACATCAGTTGGCTGTGTATCAAAAGTAATTCTTATTGCATTATTAGTAACACCATTGGTGGGAAATAATTAAAGTATCCATTTCAATTATACTTCCTACTCTGTATACTCGGAAGGTCGGCGCTCGGCATTGATCTTTAGCCTGCTGTATTGTTTTAACATAAGGCAATATAAAGAGAGTCGACGATTTCAAGCAGTCCGTGTTTCATTAAACAAGGGCCAATTGAACAAATATTTTGCATATTTATTCCTGATAGAAAACTACACAGGACTATTTAAAACTATCCCGATGTTTTCAATCTGACCAATGTTAAGACCAAAGCGAACACAAAATTTTCTTGAACTCACCTGATTTACACTATTGAAGGATGGTTTGCATTTAATGTTAGGAACCTTTTTAATTTGTAAAATTTGTGCAAATTGATTTCAATGATTATATCTCCGATATTCTAATTTTAACTGATAATAAAGTCGATTTGTTTACTGGTAAATAATAGCACAATGGTAAATTATGAACCATTTCAGTAAATTTATGATCCAAACGTTAAACCCCAAAAAAAGTTTCGAGGTCATCATGTCAGTTGCAGAAATACGAACATTCGGGTTAATCTAACATTTAATGTTATTTAATTTGCAGGAAACCATTCATAACTTATAAATATTCACCTCATCCAAATTTCAAGTGTTTTTGTTGAATATTTACGATGTAAGAAAATACAAATCCCGTGTCATGATGCTAGCAGACGTACGACACAGTGTGTAGACACTTGCAGTAAGCAACACGATCCCATCATCGTGAGCCAAGAGAACTTGTGTTGAACTGATGATATTGAGTTTTCAAAAAGGATATGCCAGGTCGGGTTTGATTTAACAGGAGGAAACATATGCCCATTAATTTGCCTAATGGTTCTGTCAGAACTGACACGCATACATTGTTAGGGACATGTAGAGGATGAGTGAGGGAGTTGGGTTTAACGCGATTTTAAAAAGTATTGCAGTTATATCACAGCACGTCCTCACATTGTAGAAAGAAAGTGATGCAGGCCTCAGACGTTGAGCACTTAGGTGAAACCCACGAGCACATGTGTTGTTGGAACGAGACTTGTAAAGCCTATCTATCTGTTTGTCTTGACATATTCCCCTCTACAATACCGTCAATAAAGTTATTTGGATTGGTTTATCACATCGATAACACCAACCTTTATATGATAAATCTATTTCTGATGGATTGACAAAATGATCTCTTTCAAGTTTGTATTGGCCTATTCTATCTCTATTCTCTGTGACACGTCACCTTCTCTTGGCATTTCATTTCTCATCCGGGATTGAAACACATGCAAAATATTCTTACGGACTTTAAACTTTATCTACTGAAGTTTCCCAACAACCAGTGCTACGGATGTCACGTGGCCACCATTTCCATCAAAGGTCATGCTTACGGTGTTTAATGTGTGGACCTGTGATTCAGGAACCATGAACACCCACACGTTCCATTTTGTTTTCCCCTCCGTCTTCATTGCATCAAACAGCATGTAGCTTGAAGACAGCGTATCGCCATTGAACACAATTCTATTGGGTTTTGCATTGGCATTCTTGTCTCGGCTAACTCCCACTCTAAGACGAGATGTATGAAAGCCAGCGCCGGGAAGACTGATGGTTGTCTGCGCATTTCCGTTGCTGATGGGGATCACCATGTCCTTGCCATAGTATGTGTTCTGGTTGTCCGTGCGTATTCCGGCAAAGTTGTAGTTGGTTTTAAACTTGTAGAAGCAGGTTGATGATCCAGGGAGATCAACTGTTCCATTAAGCTTAGACATGTTGAAAGGGTAATTGAGATGAAGAGCTGGATAACCATTTTCGAACAGAATGCATGTTTCCTCACCCGTCAAAGGGTTGATCCAGCTGTCGTTAAAGTCGAGTTTTACATTCTGCAATTCACTGCCATAGTTGTGTAGAAGAACTATCATCTCTTTGCTGTGAGGATTTGCAAGAGCAAGAGGGGCAACCATTCTCTCTTGTCCACTATATTGACTTGTGACCCGTAGAAACTTTTGATCATATGTAAAGTTTTGCCAAAACGTGAAGAATTTGGTCGTTTGAAGGGGATGACCATCCTTCGTGAATAATGAATTTCGAAGGGAATTATGGCCCGGCCATTGCCCATTTGAGTGGAGAAACACAGTTACTCTGTCAATAAACTCTCTCATGTTAAGGAAAGTAAACATGAAGCCGTTTGGTTGATTAATGGTTTCGAACTCTATCATTCCATTTTCAAGATCGGGGGCAACTCCGAAAACGTTACCTCTTCCAAATTCTGTGTTAATTAACTGAACACCTTTTCCTTTCTTGAGATGAGAGTAATTCTCCACCATGTCAAGAGAAGCAACCAGGCGCGCTTCGTTGATGCCAAAGAAGGTATGATTTCCACCCGATACACGCAGATAATTGTAGGAATGGAAAGAAAAAAAGTCCAAGTGATTAAGAGACATATCCATAAATGTAGCAGTTCTCTTCCAGTGGGCGAAGTTATTTTCATCTGCTTGTCGTAAGGCCATACTGGTGTACGATGGCCCTGCAACTTTTATTCCAAATCTTGATTTCAGCTTGTCGGCGACGGCCTCATGGAAGTCTATATTCGTTTGTGGGTCAATAATCTTTTCCACCCAATCAGGTTCATTGATGACTTCAAAAATGTGGGGACTGCGTCCTCCTGTGTAACTCGTGGCACTCTGAACCATCAGTGACACAACCTCTGACGCAGCATCAACGTTGTTTGGGAATTTACCTTGATGGTGCGACTTATTCATCCAGTTGGGCCAGGTTAAACCTATGATGAATGAACATATACAATTGGAAAAGAAAATGGAAGTCATATATTTTTTCATCTACCCTATTGGGCAAAAAGAGTGTGAGCGGATAGGTGACGTTGTAGACATTTACAAGTGTTGGTGAAATAAAAGATGATGTGTATCTGCCACAATTGGAATCTTATCTTTGGAAACCCTGTTTACTCTTTTTATATACTTCTCAAAACGATTTAATGACTTGCAAAACCTTGTATGTTCCAGGCCATGTTGTCGATGCCGCTCCCATAGCCATCCAGTTGTAGCATATAGGACGCCCATGTCTTTGACTGGAATGTATGGTTCTGGAGATAGGTGGGGTCGGGGTAACCAGGGTGACTAGGGCTTTGAGGCCACTGAAAAAAAAAATAATATGCATGGATTTGCCAGTTTTCACTATGGTAGACATGTTCCAAGGTTCATGACTACCATCCTAGAATTAAATTATTACAAAGAAGTATACAAAATGTACAAAGAAATAAGTTATATTCAGAATAAAGCCTCCACATTCTTCTTGGGAGTGAGAAAGAATGCCTCTAATGTTGCCGTGAGAGGAGAGATGGGATGGAGAAGCCAAGATACAAAAATAAAATTGAAGTTCTTCGAAGTTTCCATAAAATCATCACCTCCTGTGAAACATCTGTGTGTGCCATAGTCCATAAATGGTCATTTAAAAGAAAATCTTCCTGGGATTATAGGGTGTGTGAATTTGTGAAAAAAATAGATATTCATGGAAATATGGACGTTTTAGATTTTTGTGTCAAGGCTAAACGTGCCTCATTTCTCAAAACATACCTTGAAGTGTTAGATACAAGAGACATACAAAAGTGGTTCTCGGATATATTTAATGACAAAGGTAATTGCAATGGAAATAAATTACGAACATATAGGAAATATAAAGAAACTATCCAAACTTCTCACTATGTGAAAATGTCTCTACCCAGACAACAAAGAATTATATTAGCCTCATTACATTGTGGAAACTTTCCTCTGGCTATAGAAAGTGGCAGGTATTCCAAGCCTGTGACTCCTTTGGTAAATAGACTTTGTCAACTATGTCAGGAACAGTTAATCGAAGATGAAGTACACTTTGTTGTGGTGTGCAAATTCTACAATGACTTAGGGAAATGTTTATTTGATACATGCAATAATCAGTTCAGTAGTTTCTGTGAACTGTCCACGTCAGATAAATATAAGTGGTTGATGAACACTGAATGTATCCAGCTAGAAGTGGCGAGATGTATTCAGAAAATGTATCACAAAAGGCTGCAAGGTGTACAATAACTATTCAATATGAATTTTATATGAAAAGTGTAAGAAGTGTACGGTCAGAAGAAAGGATATGGAGTGTGTGTAGATGCAGGAATTTGGGTATGGGTATGTTTGTGAGTGAGGTTGAGTGTGTGTGTGTGTGTGTGTGTGCGTGTATGTCTCGAGTGAGGGGGTGGGGGATATCTCAATGTGTTTGGGTGTCTGTTTAGTATGTGCGGGAGAATATTAGAATGATTGATTGTGTGCGTGCGTGCGTGCCTATGTATGTATGTATATGTGTATGCATGCATGCATTATGTGATAGTGTTAGTGAATATGTGTATATGTAGATATTAAGAATGTGCATGATTACTTTTTATATCTAATTGTATTTTAATATTTGTAATATCTTAAAATACAAACACCAGGCCTCAGAGGGCCTAAATGACACCTTAAGTGTGTGCTAAATGTTGTATTGCTTTGTAACACATGACACTGTAATAAACTATTTTATTATTATTATATTATTATTAAATTATTATAAATATTCCTAGGACAAGCATTGGTTTTGAAAGGGTGTTCATATATGAGATGAACCAATAGGTAATCATATAGTGATACCCGTGACGGAGCTTCAATACTACATTGTTTATCTAATATTGAAAGAACACTGGTGTAATATCTCAATTTGTGTTGCACGATGCCTAACTTGATTCTCTTTCTTTATGGAACATATGTGTGCTACATACAAAACTAGCAGACTTTCCAGTCACATCATAACATAAAACAGTTATTCATGTCTTTATTCTAATAATCTAGATTGATTGTATGGATATGTGGAAGAAGATGTTACAAAACACCTAACCCTTAGTCCTGTGGTTCAACATTGCTAGATAAGTGTTTTACTTTTACAGCTTTCCTTTCTAAGGACCGTTTTGAAATACACATATGTTTTACCAACTCATGTTATATGTCGTCACGTGATCAATATAGAGTTACGTTTCATGTTAAAGCATTTTAAACATCTGATTCAGGGATTTTAAGTGTTAAGCTCCTCAAATAATTATGTTAACGACCTGCAGTCACTTTTTTACTTACCGTATGTATTCTTCATGGGTGTACATTGAATCCCTATGATATTGCTGTGCAGTGATACATGCCTGATCTGAGATTTTATGGCCCTGTTGACAACGTATCAGTGAGGGAAGGTATACACTGTACGGATTAGGGGTCATAATTGGTGTGGATGTGGGCAAAGTGACTGAGTGGGCTAAGTGACGACATTCTGCGATTTTCTGTATTTATTTTTAAACCTCTGTGCTTCTTAGCGGGACCGTGAATTTTATTGAATAAGATCCTAAGTCTATATGCACATAGATTTGAACTAAGAAACATCAGCAAAAGGACATATTGAATACCTGAATCTGCAGCCAGACAAATCAAGAGTTGATAAGTGCACTGGTCATCTGGTGAGTGAGTTGGGTTTAACGCCGCTTTTAACAGTATTCCAGTTATATCACGGCGTGTCAGCTTAATGTTGGAGGAAAGCCCGAAGTGATGCGGGTCTCAGACGTTTACCACTTCGGTGAAACCCACGAGCATGGGTATGGTGCTGACAAACCTAGAAACATAATTGGGGCGAACTGGGTTTCGAACCCACAATCATAGGTTTCTGGCGTGCCCAAGGGACGCAACTGTGCACAGCGAATCGCGGCGCCTTAGACGACTGGGCCACCCGTGCCCCCGGTCATCTATGAAGACATCAGATCCGAACACTAACTGCCCCATTTGCATTGCAAAGTAGATAGGAATACAGCTCATTACAATATACCTATTAAAGCATAGATTCGGTAGGAATACTTGGACATTGAAACCATAGATGAATCATAACATTTTCATCATGGACGATTCTGTTTACTTCATACATACATTTGACCCGTGAAGATCCGGGGTAGAATAGATCTTCAGCAACCCATGCTTGTCGTAAAAGGCGACTAACGGGATCGGGTGGTCAGGCTCACTGACTTGGTTGATGCATGTCATCGATCCCAATTGCATGGATCGATGCTCATGATATTAATCACTGGATTGTCTGGTCCAGACTCGATTATTTACAGACCGCCGTCATATAGCTGGAATATTGCTGAGTGCGGCGTTAAACAACAAACCAACCAACCAACCAAATCATACATACATTTGGGAAGAGACTCTGGTCGCTGTTCAACCAACGCCCGGGTGCCGTTCCGATAGATTTACACTTTGGAATTAGGTTCAATTGGGTGAGTCCATTAATTTTGTTCCATCTTTGAGGTTCATAATGGACACGTCCACCCTGGGCGAGCCATTCGTTGTAGATTGTCACAGTTGTGTCAGAGAACGCCGCTCCCCACATCAAGGTGCACTGAACAAGTAGTAACATTCTTCAGTGAAATATGGATACTTCTGTTCACCAACATGGGCTTTTAAATATTTAATTCAAGGCTGTAATCTGTGCGTGAAGGCAGCATGTGACATCTGTCAGGAATTTCATAAAACATATCTGCGATAAGAGAAGTAAGACTGAACAGAGGTCCCCTCTGCACTTTCTGCAATATTCAAACCTCAACCTTTCGGCAGCCTGAGGGTTGTATATATAGTTTGTTTCCACTTACAGAATACAACAATACCGAGGGTATCTGGAACAAATGACATAACTCGTAATGACATCAGGCTCAACTAAATATTATACTATTTTACTAGTTCGTCTTATTCCGCGAAAGAAACTTCTGTTACAGTGGACCGTTTCCGTGGTCTAGTTGTAGAGCATCCGTCCTGATAGCGGAAGTTCCGGGGTTCGATCCCCGGCCGCGTCATACCCAAAAGACGTTAAAAGATGGTACTTGCTGTTACCCTGTCTGACGCTCGGCATACTCAGCTTTAGCAATATTACACCACTCAGTGAAATAATACACAATTTTTAATATCTATACATAAATAAATGGACAAAATCATTTCCATAATCCTGATATATAACGTCAATGACAGAGAAAAGGCAAAATAGTGATGACAATTAAGTGAATATGTCGTTAAAAATCAGAAATCAGAGTTCATAGTACACTTCCAGCCATATTATAACAATGTGTTTATGAATCACAATCAACATGTTTTTAAAATAAATCTGTGTGGCAGAGTTCAAGTAGTTTCCACAAGTTCCGAATAAGAAGCACATTTAACATTACAACCCAATGAAAACATGCCACTTGTTAATTGAAACAACTTTTCGTTTGTTATTTGTCAGGGCGTTTCGGAGCCAAGTTTTGCCCCTTCCTCAGGTAATATGATGATATGCTTAAACAACATAAAGTACGATAAATGTTCAAACAAAACAATATGATGACGAAGCCATTGAGATTAACAGGAGTGAGTGAGTGAGTTAAAATTTAACGTCACATCGGCAGTATTTCAGCCATATAGTGACGAGAACATTAATAATTAATAAATTTAGACGAATAAAAACCTGTCATCGACGGACAGTATAAATAACTAGACTATCACAGTTTAGAAATAAAACTAGTTGCGTGAACAATTAAAAGAATAACCTATGATTTAACAATACATTAGTGAGTGAGTTAGTGAGTGAGTGAGTATGGTTTTACGCCGCTTTTAGCAATATTCCAGCAAAATCACGGCGAGGGACACCAGAAATGGGCTTCTCACATTGTACCCATGTCGGGAATCGAACCCGGGTCTTTGGCGTGACGAGCGAACGCTTTAACCACTAGGCTACCCGACCGCCCCCAACAATACATTATAAAAACGGGCTATAGATCACCAGCAACCAAAGTTAGGTCACCATACTAGAGACCGTGGGGACTTACGATACTTCTGCTGTCTACACGGATCCCCAGCAGGATTTACAGAGATAAACAGGAGAGAGGACAGTTAAGTACACTGGAGGTGTGGTGACTGGACTGGGTGTAATAACCAGGAGCTGCCGACGGTGACACAAATAATAAGGCAATCATGATGTCCATGTATAGGTGACAAAACGGGAGCATATTCTGCCCCAATGTAGGTACAACAAACACATGCAGGGGCAAGTCAACTGGTCGGTGAGACGCTAAATTTGGAAATAGTCTCGATATTGCTACCATTAAATATCCTGAAGGCTGACTATGGTGACACAAGCAATCAGACAATCACGATATATGTTTGTGGTTGACGATGTGATTAAAGCACAGTTTAGTACACGCGAGGTAGGTGGATACCTTTGTCTCTGTTAATGGTCGGCTACAATGTTGATACGTATGGCGATCAATACAACACAGTTGGAGGCTAACAACATGTCAGAATGTAACACAGTTGGAGGCTAACAACATGTCAGAATGTAACAGAGTTGGAGGCTAACAACATGTCAGAATGTAACACAGTTGGAGGCTAACAACATGTCAGAATGTAACACAGTTGGAGGCTAACAACATGTCAGAATGTAACACAGTTGGAGGCTAACAACATGTCAGAATGTAACACAGAATGCAACACATATACAATGCCACTGATACAGGGTCATGCTACATTGGCGTTGAGTGACATACTGACATTAAACTACATGTAACGGACTGATCAAACATACTTTGCTTATGTTGACATCTCGAAACTATTTGTTTCATGAGGACTCAAACGTACATGCACCTTCATTGCAGATTGTGTTGAGTAACATCAATCTCTTCTATTGGTAAGTGCAGATATTTATTTAATCAGCTCGTCATAGCTCCGAGGGTTATAAAGGCCTTGAATGTTAAGATCCAGGTCAGACAACTTTTTGGAATGTTCGTCGAAAGAGCATGCTCTGTTGTGAATGTAGATACAAGAGGCTTGAACTGCAAGAAAAATATTGTAAATAAAAGAAAACACTATTGAAAAGTTATTACTGGAAAGGTGAATTCACCCTCATTGTCACTTGTAATGCACAGCTCTAAATATCTAGATCTATTTCACAGGTCAGTTTCTAGTTTAGGTGGTTATATCAGCAGAAAGGATTTACTGCTTGGCTATTTTGGAAAGATATGTTATCAACGATAAAACTCAAGCTAAAGTGAACTTTCTAGGCCATATTCATATTTGACAAAATAAATGTTCTAAACCTTTGAAAACAGAGAGGTAACAACATCTATGGTCACCTGGTTTAGTGACAAATGCCCCTCACAGATCAAAGAATGAATAATGACAATTGAGTTTCTTTTCTAGGCTTGCAAAAATACAAGGAAATTCTTTGAGTTTTTGAAAATCCCCATGGTATTAATTCCACTTGGCTCATATAAAATATGTGACAATAAAGAAAGTCTTTCTTTGATTGTGCTGATGATTATGGTTGATCTTGACAGGGATTCTGTGGTTCATTTGCTTGACCCAGCACTATATATTAGTTTGAAAGTATTGTTATGGATCTTCAGAATCCATAACAAAAGAGGAGCGGACATGTCTTCAGGTTTCAGAGTCAGCTCAAAAATTGATAGTATTGATAAATGAGTGAGTGAGTTTTACGTCACATCGGCAGTATCTCAGCCATATAGTGACGAGAACAAATTGAAAGATAAATATCTGCCACAAAGGACAGTAAAACATTAGCATGGTATCACAGATTGAAATCTAAGTATTCATAAATGGTTTTCGCAGATATCTTCCTCAGCTAGCATACTGGCCTTATATGTGGCATTCTTTTGCATGACATATACATGCAGTGTTTCTTTTTTTTATGAAAAAAAGATAATGTAGTGATGATGGCTGTGTTATTTAAGACCTTCTCAATAGGAACAACTGCAATCTTGTTATGTAGGGCAGCCAGAATTTGGATGACAGCTGGCTGTGACAGAATGGATGATTACTTACGAAGACAAATAAGGGAGTTGAGTTGTACACTCACATTATCGTGGAGGAGCACCTTGTTTTTACTTCATATGCTTAAAGAAACAGATCCCCAGGAAACCAAATGGCATTAATTCCACTTGTCGCGAATACTTTCTGTGAATATAAAGAAAGTTCTTCCTTGATTGTATTAACGATTGGTCCGTCTTTGAGACCGGGATTTGGTGGTACAGTTGCTGAACCCAACGATATATGTTTTAAGGAGCTTTGGAATCCAGTGCAAAAGAGGAATGGATATATCTTCAGGTTTTAGAGTCAAGTCAAACGTTTGCAGTTCTGATTTATTGTTTTGGCAGATTTCTTCCTAGGTAAACATACTTGCCTTATATAGGGCATTATTTGATAAATCATTTATACCACGTTATTTGATCAAACAATTAATGTAGTGATGCTCACATATAATGGCAGTGGGCACGGGTGGCCCAGTCGTCTAAGGCGCCGCGATTCGCTGTGCAGAGTTGCGTCCCTCAGGCACGCCT